AAAAACTGTTAAGAGAATTGGGTAGTCCCGCTAGAAATACTTTGAAACCTCCTCCCAGAGGGAATAACAGAAACAGACCATGAAGTGGGTGTGTGGGGTCGCTAACAATGCTTTGAGCTCTAAGGACATAGCGCTCATAAGCAGTATCTTGAATAACAGGAAGTGAGCTTCCTATAGTCTTCTCGGCTGTCCTTACCACTCTCTGTATGGACTTTCTGTCTGAGGCACTGCTGCCACCAAACAGTGATGCAGTTTGTTAAAATGCTCTCTGTAAAAAGAAAAAAAATGGCCAGGACAGAAGGAGAAAAATGCTCTCCTCATCCGAAGCAGGGAATGCAGGCGCTGGTTTGCACGCTTCCCTAAGGATGATGCGTGGAGAGACCAGATTGTTAGTTCAGATTCTATTACAAATATTTCAGCATAAAATTTAGTATTTCTTTGTCTGGGAGGAAGCTGATGTTGTTACATAAAATCTTGATCATTTAAGTGGTAATTACATGATCCAGTTGTCTCTCATCAAAATTAATGAGCTGTTTTGATGGTTGGCGGAAGAAGGCTTCTCTTGTATGGTCTCAAGTATTGACTCTCGGAGTGCTGTGCTTTATAAAATTCTCAAGTATGCAATTACAATTTATGATCTGCATCTGTATTCATCTCTCCTCTCCTCCCCCCCCCCTTTCTGTTGTAGCCTATCCAATTGCGAGGTCCATATGATGTGGCTAATATGTATCCTTTTAAAATGAATCGATAAAGCCCCCAACTGTGAAAAGTGCTACGATATGTATCTGGAGGGGAAAAAAGGGACAATCGGGCATAGAACAGCATCTCTTCCTCGAGCGATGTAAGACATTTGGAAAGGAAATGGCATACAAAACACGGCCAGAGGGTACTAGACCCACCACATGATTGATACGTCAGCAAACCAGGCTAGAAAAAAATAACCAGAATCTGCCTCGGTTTGAACAATAGAATCTGGACAGGTTTGACCTTAAGTGTGTAAATACTGACTCCATTTAAAAGAATCAGGGAAATAAAACATGGACTTTCTAACAGGTATCGGATACATTTAATACCAAATACCTGTGGCCAGAAAAGGATGTAATAAGATGAATCATTCCGTTGGCCAAGATTTCTGATCTCATTTTTTTTCTCCCACCCTCGTATTCCAGCACAGGTAGATGGATAGGTATAAGGGGGCCAGGAGTGTATTAAAGGTTGAGTTCGTCCTTTCCTTCCCCCTGAATTGCTTTCGCTGTTGTCCATGGATGAAAAGCATGTTTATCTTTTGAGACATGAAGAATCCTTAATAAAAAATGGCAGAGGTTGGTTGTTCGGCCTTTCAGGAAGCAATGGCAAGGCAGCTGTTTCGACCAACACCCGAGCTGTCCTTCTTCATGGAGGTGAGTCCAAAGAGTGATGAACTTTGTACAGAGAGTCCTCGACATACGGCCACAAATTGAGCCCAACATTTCTCTTGCTAAGTGACCCAGTTGTTAAGTGAATTCTGCTGCATTTTGCAACCTTTCTGGCCACAGTTGTTAAGTGAATTTGGCTTCTTCACCGACTTTGCTTGTTGGAAAGTCACAAAAGGTGAATCACATGACCCCGGGACACTACAACCGTCATAAATATGAGTCAGTTGCCAAGCATCTGAATGTTGATCACGTGGCCATGGGGATTCTCCAATGGTCCTAAGTGTGAAAAAAACAGTCATAAGTCACTTTTTGTTGTCATTTCGGATGGTCACTAAATGAACTGTCATAAGTCAAGGGCTACCTGTATGATAAGATTAGTGCATTACCAATATTGACAGATATGTAATGCAAAGAAGGGATGATGAGTCTCCCTTATTTGTTCCACCTGTCACCTCCAGCAGCTGTAATTACTAGAGGAAAAAACATAGTTTTCTTTTTAAAGATGAGTTTTATACTGTTGGTTTTCATTTGTTGTTTTATTCCATTATGATTTGTTTGTTTTATGTGGTCTTTGATTGCAAGAAACTTGTATTTATCTTCATTTGAATGATTCTAGGTTGAAAAAAGTTGTCCTCTCCTATTGTTCTGAACAGGCATAGGATTTGTAAGCATTTCCTTGGATTAACTATAGTCCTTCACTGTATAAGTTGTAGATAATCAAGAAGATAATGAAATTATTTGTACCAAGCTAGTTTCTGGAGTCTTAGGATGAGATAATCTACCCTGGCCCACAGTTGCTATTTGAGGGCGGCTTATATAGGAAAGAGAACTGGATTCATTGTGGCTTTATGTGACACTATTGCATGTGATGCTGAACTTTCTTTTCAGCTACATAAGACTGCTCTTTGGCCCCATAATATTGCAATCGGTAATTCAATTCCATGCTGCATTGGATAGTTCAGGGGTGCCAAACTGGTGATCAGCGGGCTGGATGCGTCATGCATAGGCCACGCCCACCCCAGTTCCGTGAAAGTGAAAAACATTGCAATACATCATATGACGGCAACATGACTCAGTGGGTTTGACACCCGTGGGATAGATTAGAACAGGTTCTTACATCGCACATCTCATCATACTTTTCCATAGGTGTGGTTTGTAAAACATTCTTCTTTCATTTCAGAAGCCAGGAAGACTGCCTGTGGAGTGGTGTACACAGTGAAGAAACCTCAACTTCCAGAAGAAGAAGAAGATGATGATGATGATGATGATGATGAAGAAGAAGAAGATGATGGTGATGATGATGATGATGATGATGATGATGGTGCTCCACTCAGTAAAAAAGCCAAAACAGATTTGTGAATTACAAGTTTACCTCTCTTGACACCCAACATCTCAAACTCCAATGCTGTCTTACCTTAGGATAGCTGATGAAGAGGAGGAATCTCTTAACACTAAGTTGATCTGAGTATCTACCTTGGTGATTCTCTGTGTGGACTTCAGGAGAAATAGATGATGCTCCTTGAGTATTGTCTGTGAAACATGGCAATACAACATTTGAAAGAAGTGGGAGTATTTGTATATAACTGTGCTTCCTTTTATAATAAATACGTCTTACCAAATACAACTATCACTATCCATTTGCCCACTCTTAATGATCAAAACAAGAATGGACATTCTACACACGTAACTTATTTTTTTTAAAAAATCTGTTGGCTTTTATTAATCTGACTACATATGCTTGCTGAAAATCATTACAATACTGGTAATTTCATCACAGGATTATAATGTTAACAGGAATTCCACCTTTGAGTTCCTGATTACAGAGTTATTAATGCAACCTAGTGTTGGTAATCGTTTGAAGAATTTGCAGCCTTAACTATGAGCAAAGTTTCTGTCACTTTACTCATAGCTATAATAGTGGAGCATCCAGATTATTTGTGCAGTTTAACTAGAAGAACTGTCCTATCTTGGATTGAGAGGTAACCAGTTTGCTTCCAGGTCCAATTCAAGGTGCTGGTCCTTCATGCCTTGGAATGAGGTTATCTGAGGGACCGTCTCTTGCCGATCACATCTATCTGACCCACCAGAGCTGCGAGGCAAGGAAAGCTGCGGGTCCCGTCCATGAGAGAGAGACACCTGGTGGGACCCAGAAGAAGGGCCTTCTCCATGGTGGCTCCTTCTCTGGAACTTCATTCCCCCAGAGATTAAAATGGTCCCCACTCTTGACACTCTTCTAGAAAGCGCTAAAGACCTGGTTCTGCCAGCGGGCCTGGGGAATGCAGAGTAGAATGGAGTCCATTAAATGGCTCATATGATGTGTTGTCGTGGACAGGGGTGGACGGTGGGGGGTTTATTTTGTTATTGTATTTATTGTATCCCCTCTTTTATTATTTATTGTTTTTTATATGACATTTTTATATATTTGTAAGCCACCTTGAGTCACCATGTGCGAATAGGCGGCAATATAAATCTCCTTTTATATAAGCTTGCCAACTGTAGTATGAGACAAAATGAGGTGACATCAGAGACAATGTGTATTTACCTGAAAAAAGGCAATAAACATGTAATACAGTACATGTTTGTAAGACTTGTTTGCCCATTTCCATCTTATTTTACGAATGTTATATATAATTCAGCCTTTCCATTTCCAATTACCCTTCTAATGGCTTTATCACTTCCTCGTAAGATGACAATAAAACTGTTCTAGAAGCTAAAGGATTACAGTAAATGAAGAATCTTAAGTAGATATCACAGTAACAGTTTTTGGTTCAAGGATGCGGTATATACAGTAGATCTCAGGTGGGAGTTAAAAGATGGTTCTGTTCAAAGAATGTTGGGTAGATACCCGGTAGAAGGAAGATACTCAGATATCCAGCATATCAGGAAACCAAAGCTGGGGATAGAAGGTTCAGTGTCCCACTACTGTTATCTTCTGCAGCCTCTCTGCTCTATATTGCTCCTTCAACTTTGCTTTCTGTCTGATCAGAACACCCACAGGTAATCTATACCACAGAGATTGTGCTGTTGTCATATGTAACTTTGTGGAAAGCGTGGAGCAGTGGTTCAGGATCCAGGTATGCCAATATTGAGGCCATTGGGTGGCTCTAGCCCTCAAACCAGCAATCTCGGTAGTAATTGCAATGTTGGTCAAGGAGCTTGCAGTATGCTTCTGAAACATTTCAGGTACGTGTTGGAAGTTGTTCCATAAAATTTGAATTAGGGCTTTATTGTTTCTGTGTCCGTGCAATGACGCATTTGTGCTATTTTCTTTTGGGATAAGCTATGTCACATAAAATGCTGAAGAGTTAGAAATGGCTAAAGAAACAACAAGAGATAAAAGTAAAGGAAGTTTAACTGTAGTTTATACCAACACCATTAACTATAGCCCTCTGTACCTGCAATTGCAAACCATTTTTCCCTGCACCATCATACATTGCTTTTACTCTCCTTTTGAGGATCTCATCCAAGTTTGTCTAGCTGCAATTTTTGGCAATGGCACTTAGACTTATATACTGCTTCACGGTGCTTTACAGCTCTTCAAGCGGTTTACAGAGATAGCATATTGCCCCCAACAGTCTTGGTCCTCATTTTACCAACCTCAGAAGGCTGGAAGGCTGAGTCAACCTGGAGCCAGTTAGAATTGAACTGCTTGCAGTCAGCAGAATTAGCCTGTAATACAGCATTCTAACCTGCTGCCACGGCTCCTTTTATTGGTCTTCACCTCAACTTACACATTCATTCAAATGCAATTCATTCTTTCTATATGGCCAAACCATCTCAACCTGCTGCTTTCACACTGGTTACTAGTCACTCATCGTGTATTCACCCTGCTTTCATTCAGCACTCATTCAAAACTGCTGTGGGTTTTTACCACTCATAATTACACTCTGCAGTATTTAGTAGCCTCTCATGGTGGCTAGCCATGGTTTACTTAAACTTTATGAATGTATGACTATTGGCTTTGTTCATGTTCTTAAGCCAGTAATGATGGTATAGTACCACAATTTACCTCAAATACTAAGCCAGAGCTAAACAAATGGTATCATAGTTTGGTGCAAAATATTGATCTAGTCAGTGTCAATAATTTTGACCGTTGGCCATCTGATTTGAGAAGGTAAAGTTTTTTCATAGTTTATTTATAACCTCTAACACTTATCTGAGAATTGGCCAGCATTTTTTTGTTAGCTGATGGAACATAACAATCTTCAGACAAATAAAGTATTCAGGCAGAACAAACCATTCTCTTATTTTAAATCTTAAAGGGAATTTAATACAAAATGTACATAAAAAGCCCTACAAATATACATAACTTTTCTTCCATTACCTAGCATGTAAAAATAATTGCATTTTCTTCTACTTCACTTCAACACCTTCCTTTATGTAACATTCCACTTTGAACTTTATAGTTCATTGTCCGCTATTTTGAGTAAAACTGGTCTACTCTTAATAAACTTTAAAATAACCCAGATCTGTTCCTTTTTTCATTCTACTTCCGCTGTTCCTTTCTAATGTCGTTGCTTTCCATACCTCTGTTCCCCTGCCCCCATTCTTTGGCTTTTAACAGTTTACTCTGATAATAACAATTCAGCAGAAATTTTGGGTGACACCTAAAAATTAATTATGTTGGGGTTAAGTTGGGAGGAGAGAAGCTTGTGAAGCTGCTAATACATTCAGAAACGTGATTGTCTTGTATAAATGCTTTTGGCTGATTATCACCTCAGCAACCTTCTACAACTCTAGTATCAACAGGACGTTTTGAAAGATCACCAGAGAAACAACAGCCAAAGAAACGTCATCCAAGAAAAAGGGAATAATGGAATACAAGATATAAATAGGAATTAATTTAAAAAAAAAGGAAACCTTGAAACCAGTGGAATTGTAACATTCAAGCCATGCCTTTGAACCTTTTGTCCTCAGACTTATTCCAAAGGCAAAAACACTAGCTCGATGAGGCAAAGATGGCATCACGTATCCAGGAACTGTTCTTCACATTGTTCTTCACTCTGATAACTGTGCCATCTACAAAGAAGCAATCATTCCCTGAAGCTTTCAATCTGGTTTTCAGAACGTGTCTATGGGAGAATTCTTGTAAGCATTCTCCTTCAGGTTGTTGAAGATTTCCTTGGTGCCATTTTGCCACTGTAGAACAAGATCCATCGGAGTTTTCCCTTCCTATGCAAAGATAGCCAAGAAAATGTGATTATGCTTCTTGGAATGTGATTTTTGCTATCGTTTAATTTCATTTTATCTGATCGATTTCTTGTAGGGCAAAATGTGGGAGAACTGTCATATGTCTGGTCACATTATTTGAATAAACATGTGCAAGAAGATAGGTGTTTTTAGAATTCATGCTAATATGGAATTCAACAATGAACAAAGTATGTGCTTCCCGCATATATAGTAGTATGTGTTGTAGCCTTGCCATAAATTCTTATTCCTTCTATCACACGTACTTCACCCAAAAAATACACAATAAATATAGTATCTTTATTAGGCCTAACCAAAATACCACAAAAGGATATCTTCTGGTCCAAATGGCCAACCCAAATCCTACCAGTGGTATCCAACAAAAAAAATCTCTCATTGTTTTCTCATAAACCCTCCTACTTGATATTTTTTAAAAACTATTTTGCTCAGCGACCTATATTTGCCCCAAAGAGCCAGACCCACTTGCATAAATGATCAAATATAGAAAGGCAGAGAGACCAGAGGTGGCATTCAGCAGGTTCTGACCAGTTCTGGAGAACCAGTAGTGGAAAGTTTGAGTAGTTTGGAGAACCGGCAAATACCACCTCTGACTAGCCCCACCCCCATCTATTCTCTGCCTCCCGAGTCCCAGCTGATCGGCTGGGTCTTCTTTTGTTGCCCTGCACAGGAGAACAGAGCTGGAAAGCAGGTTAGTGGGGTGGGGAGGGAATGGGATTTTGCAGTAAACTTCCCTTGCCACACCCACCAAACCATGCCACACCAACCAGCCACGCCCACAGAACCGGTAGTAAAAAAAATTGAATCCCACCACTGAGAGAGCCACTGAAATGTGGAAGAACGGGACTTTTTTTACTTGTTTTATTTTACCCTGGCTCTCTTTGAAGTCCCCCAAAATAACTCAATCAATTCTACCAACATGTATCCGAAAAGTGGCATCATCAACAAAGGTATATAAGAAATTAAACAGGAAGTCTTCCCGCAGTGGTTCCAATTAGTTTTAGGATCAATTTCTATGAGATGTTTCTAGGTTTATAAATGAGTTTAAAGATCCAAAGTTCTGCTTTGGGTTGTATATTCTGTACATAATCGGTAGCCCAAATGAAAGCCAATCAATAAGTAAATAGTGCAAAAGTCCCTGTTTATGAAGGAGGTGGAATGAGAAAGTACTTTAGAAAAGACATGGATCTGCATGCTGCAGCTATGGGCACCTCCTTAAGGAAGTCTGGCCATTTTTAAAGTTTTTATGGTAGTGAATTCCCCAGGAAAATACACATCTGAAGAGATGGCAGGAGTCTAGTATGGTGAGCCTATTGCAACCTATCTGTGCTTCTCCAAATATTCTATAGAGATTCTCAGTCGTCCAGGTCACGGTTATCCCAAAGGTGTTGTTTTTTTTTAGCTATACAATTTGGGATGGACACCCTTTCAATGGTGTGGGAGTAGGAATGGATTTCCAAAGGGGGAAAAAATTGAAGACTACAGGAACTAGGAGCACTACTCGGGTGACTCTGAGGACACAGATACTAACTCAAAGTGTTTCAAGGACCCCAAAGGATCCAAGGAATATAAATCCTTTCAGGGATAGGCTTCTGGGGGTTCACAGGGGTTCAGGAGAGCCTCCTGTGCAGTTTGGAGAATCCCAAATCCCACTCCTGGCTGGCCCTGCCCATCCTTACCCTCCCAGGAGTCCCCAGTTTGGGATGCAGGTAGGAGTAGGGTGCGCACGGAGGCTCAGAAAGGGTGAAAAAGGGCCTCCTGGAAGTTCAGGAAGGCCGGAAATGGGCCCATTTCCGGCTTCCAGAGAGCCTCCGGAGCCCAGAGAGGCCGTTTTCACCCTACTGTAGGCTTAACGAAAGCCTCTGGAGCCCGGGGAGGGGAAAAACACCCTCCACAGTGGTGCAGGAGGCCGTCTAGGCCACGCCCACCATGGCCACACCCACCCAGCATCCAGGCAGAGAACCCTTTGCTAAAAGTCTTGAAGCCCAACCCCTGAATCTTTCCATTCCCCACTTTCCTGTCAGAGCTGAAGAAGCTTCCTGGATGAGAAGTGAAATGTCTTCAGGAAAATCCAGTTGCTTCCAGAAAAAGCACCTTTGGGTTCTTCAAATATGTTTCTCCAGGGAATGAACCATGAAGAGGGCTGCTCTTTTTGGGAGGTGCCAACAGAAGAGGCAAACGTCCACATCCCTTCGGAAGCCTTTTCAGCCTCGAAGCCAAATAGCTTCATAAGGGTTAGGCAAGGGGGGGGCTCTTTGCAGCCCAGATCTGGCATGGCTTTCCCAAATCGTGCCATCATGCCCTTGTAACAACCTATCCAAGGCTTCCCTCCAAAAAATACAGGTAGTCCCCGACTTCAGTAACCAAAGTTACAACAGCATTGAAAAAAGTGACTTATGAGCGTTTTTCACACTCATGACCATTGTAGCACCCCCATAGTCACATGATCAAAATTTCAGATGCTTGGCAACTGGCTCATACTTATGACGGTTGCAGTGTCCCGGGGTCATGTGATCATCTTTCGAGACTTACGGACAAGTAAAGTCTATGGGGAAGCCGGGTTCGCTTAACAACTGTGTTATTAATTTCACAGCTTAATTTCATTTAACAACTGTGGCCAGAAAAGTCGTAAAATGGGGCAAAACTCACTTAACAACTGTCTCACTTAGCAACAGAAATTTTGGGCTCAATTGTGGTCGTACATCGAGGACTAACTGAATTCCATCTTTAAAGTAGCCCATTTTAAGTTCTGTCTTTTCAGAATATAACATTAGAATCATTTTGGGGGGGGGGAATCAACCGAAAAATATATTTCAAAACAGTAGAAATATGGGGTTTTTTTGGTGGAGGGGGGGATGGAGAAGTCTTGTAATAAATTCATTTTGCAGTTTGGTAAAGGTTCCCCTCACACCAGTTGTGGGATTCAAATTATTTTTACTAACGTGGCTTTGTGGGCGTGGCAGGGGAAGGATACTGTAAACTCTCCAGTCAGAGGCGGTATTTCCCGGTTCTCCGAACTACTCAAAATATCCACTACCGGTTCTCCAGAACTGGTCAGAACCTGCTGAATGCCACCTCTACCTCACACATACGTGCTAGCTGTTTCCGGCTCTAGGGAGCGGTGCTCATCTCCATTACAAAACCGAAAGCAAGCACTGTCTGAAGACATCTTCGTGATCATGTGGCTGGCATGACTAAATGCCGAAAGCACACGGAACGCTGTTCCCTTCCCACCAAAGGGGTCCCTATTTTCCTACCTGCATTTTTTACATGCTTTCAAACTGCTAGGTTGGCAGAAGTTGGGACAAGTAACAGGAGCTCACTCCGTTACACAGAGCTAGGGATTCAAACCGCTGAACTGCCAACCTTTCTGCTCAACAAGCTTACCCCCTGAGCCACCGTGTCCCCTTGCAGTTTGTTAGTAAGGAGTATAATTTGCAATTTGTGGGCTTGATCCTTCATATTTAAAATAGATGCAGTAAAATCCATAAGACTAAACGGAATCACAGTTACTATAAGCTTGATTTCCAGGCATCTATATTGTCTGATTTCAACTCAGCCCTTCTACATGACTTCAGTTTCACAACAGTGGGAGAGGGACTACAAATGGAGTAACTTACAATGTTCTTTACATTCAGGTTAGCCCCATAGAGAATCAGGAGTCGAATCATTTTATATCGATTTAATCTCACTGCATCATGCATTGGAGCATCACCTTCCTAGAAGAAGGAAGAAAAATGGATTAAGACAGTCTTGGAAGCTGACTGTCATGCACAATATTGACAATGCTCAACAGAGGATATTAACATGTTGCAAGCAAAATCTGTTATCTTGTCTAAGTGAAGAGAAGGACCAGGGGTGACATGATAGCAGTGTTGCAATATTTGGGGGGCCATCACAGAGAAGAGAGGGACACCCTATTTTCCAAAGGACCTGAAGGCCAGATAAGGAACAATGGGTGGAAACTGACCAGGGAGAGATTCGACCTAGAAATAAGAAGAAATGTTCTGACACTGAGAACAGTCCACCAATGGAAGAGCTTGCCTTCAGAAGTTGTGGGTGCTTCATCATTGGAGGCTTTCAAGAAGAGACTGGATAGCCACTTGTCTTGGGCAGGGGCGTCAAACTTATGTCATCACATGATGTACCATGATTTTTTCACCCTTCGCTAAACCGGGCATGGGTGTGGCCAGCATGTGACACATCTGGTCCACGGGCTGGAGTTTGACAGTTTGCTTGAGCAGGGAATTGGACCAGATCACCTACAAGGTCCCTTCCCACTCTGTTATTCTAAGTTTTTTTTTTTAAGAGGGTTATGAAATCCTGGCACTGAGTTGGAATGTCTGGATAGAAGGCATCCTAAACACTGTTGCTATCCTGATAGAAAAGAACACTGGCATTCCCTAAGTATCTAGAATTCCTCTAGGGAGGGAACAAGTATGCAGATATAGATATGCATCATTTACTTAGCCTGCCTCACTATGCTAAATGCTCAGTGTAAACTAATATCAGCTTCATAAATTATGAGTTATTCACTAATGGCGTGTAATCTAGACAAAGAGCGAAGGGAATGTTTTCTAAGTCTGAAAAACAAGTTGGTTCATAAGCTTAGTTCCTGTACTATTATGGGTGTTGTGGGGTGATATAGGCTTGAGCTTGGGTCAGGCTGCAGACAGAGATATGGGCAAAAATCTTCACTTTCAGACATTCAACAGATTTAGTGACATGATAGTAGGTCCACTGCTTTACAATCACAATGACTTACAATCGCAATTCTGGCCTAAGTTATGGTTGTAAGTTTACCTGTACTAACAATGCACAGCCTTGGCATAAAATACAGAAAGTGGTTCTGTCTGGTTGATGGTCACCTTTATTTATGGTACTCAGGGGACGCTATTCAGTAGCACGAGAAGCCTCTCTTCCTCTCTATTTGAGTCATTTTGGTCCACTTTTACAAGCACAAAAAGCTGCCATTGCACCAGGTGTTCAATATTGCCTTCTGATGGGCATTCTCACCCCACCTACTCTATCCGTTCCCAAGGAAGGAGATGATATACTTACTCTGTCTTTGGCATTCAGATCTGCTTCACATGCAATGAGATGTTCTCCACATTCATACTGGCCTGTCCTCACTGCCACATGCAAAGGACTGCTGAGCAACTAATGGAAAGGGGGAAAAAAGTTCAAAAATGCATAACTGTAGACAATAAACATGGATGGAGAAAAGAATTTCAGGCAAGCAGGTTCCAGATTCACATCTTCCGTAATTCAAATTTTGGGTACAATTATCATAAAATACCTTGTCTTTGGCATTTCGGTTTATCCCTTTGTTTAAGAGGAATTTCAGGACTTCTACATTTCCACCTCGACACGTCCAATGAATAGCCGTTGATTCGAGCTACATCAGAAGAAACAAAACAACAGACCAGGAGATTACAATAAGGTAGGAATAATGAAAGCATAGACCTGCTTTTAAAGTATGTAGGTTCTTGGCTGGTCCTTTTGATTGGAAAAACTTTTCAGGTTTCTAGACTAAATGAACTAAAGCTGAAAGATCTTTCAATAAAAGATCCAGATTTTTCTGGGTACAAGCCAGCAAGTTAAGACAAAGGAGATGATCTCGGATCATGGTGGTTTCTGAATATAAACAATAATTCCTAGTGATCAAGACTTGATTAAGTTGTATTCATTTAGGAACATAAGCACAGATTTATTCCAGGTTACTCTCTCCTGTTTTGACCAATAGCTGCAGGTAGTCCTCAATTTATGACCACAATTGAGCCCAAAAGTTATGTTGCCGTGTAAGAAATTTGTGAAGTGTTAAATTTTGCCCTGTTTTTATGATTCTTCTCACTGCATTTTCCTGTTAAGTGAATCACAGCTGTTGTTAAATTAGTAACCCGGTTGTTAAGTGAATCTGGCTTCCCCTCTGACTGGTCAGAAAGTTGCAAAAGATGATCACATGACCCCAGGTACACTGCAACCGTCATAAGTGTGAGTCCATTGTCAAACATCCGAATGTAAATCATTTGACCAAAAGGGATCCTGCAATGGTCATAAGTGTAAAAAATAATAACAAGCCACCTTGTCACTCCCTTCAAACGGTCACTAAGCGAACTATTCTAAGTTGAGGACCATCTGTTGTAGGTCCTAGTGATAAAACCAAATGCCTTTCTCCATCTAGTTCTCTATATAAAATATACATTTTATTATTAAAGCTGCAGCCCGCCTTCGGTGCTCACTCCTCTTCGTTCAACTCCTCTTGGATTAATTTAGTCACATAGGCAGTACGACAGAAAGCCCTGCCACTTGACCAGAAGAACATAACTTGGCACGGAGGCTGAGAAAGTCATGTGTGTATCATTGGAGCAGAAGCATACCCTTAGAAGGCAACTTATCATGAAGTCCCTTTTATGAATTGTACAGTGCAGTAAACAACAGTCTCCTTCAGCAATTACATCTGACCAGAGGCATGCATGGCTAACAGGAATAACAGGGAGTGAAGCCTTATCTGCTGGCCCCACTCCAAACAACTCACGCCCCTATTATCCTGCTCACTTCTTCATGTCAACTGGGAAGTCAACCTGAGAGGAGGGCTTGTTGTCTACATCAAAAGTTTGCTTGATGTGATGGAGAATATGAATGAAGCAGATTCCTGGTGTGGCTTCATTCATAGTCAAGTTAATTTTAAAGACACCTCCTCCACCACCACCGTATGACACAAGGAGACCAGGCAGGTATGATATGAGGTGGATGTGTTAATTCTGTCTCTTCCCTTGTGTTAGCATACTCCTATTAAATTGATAATGGATAGGCAAATGCCTTCTCTTTCTCATAATTCTTTCAGATGTTTTGCATGCTTGTGAAGAACAAGGCTAAGTGCACACAGTTTCTGCTTACCATATCTTGGAATTCAAGTTGAGCCCCAGCTGCTACTAACTTTTCCACAATTTCCAGATGTCCTTGTGAGCATGCCCTGTGCAAGGCTGTACGCCTGTACTGTCAATTGGAAGACAAATAGCACAATCAATAATAAACAACTGCCTTTCTTTAACTTTTAAAGCATTATTTCTCCCTCCCTCTTTCTCCTGGTGATTTTTCTAATCTATAGCCCTCAGATTTCCCGGTGGTCATATAAGTACTAGCAGAAGTAATATTGTTTAGCTCTATGGATCAGCCTGATATTAATTAAGTATTGCCATCTAGATTGTGTATATGTAAGACACCAGCCAGAGCATAGAACAACTCAAAGAAGAAATATGTCATGCTCTTGGTGGAGACTGACTCTGAGGGAGAGGAGGAACAGCCACAGGGAGTGGAAGTGTGGCTCCAGAGGTTGTGGAGGAGGCTAGGGAAGGGCAGAGGCCAGCTGAGCATTCAGAGGAGGACCCAGGCCCATCCCCTCTCCATCCTAAGGCCCGCAGGGAGGAGAGGATAAGGGAGAGACGTGGTCTCCTCGGGAGGAGAGGGCCTTGATCCTCTTCATGGGCTGCAGCTGTGACCACTGAATAAGAGTTTGGACCTGCGTGCTGGCAAATGCTGGAAACAAATCGTGTAAACATCTCTAGTTTATAGTTCCTCTCTGAGTTTGGTGTCCTTCCCAGTGTGTGTTATCTGTGGACATCCTCCAGCTCTTATCTTGCCTGGTTTGTGTGGCTTTTTTCCTTCTTCATGTAATTGTGTGGGAGTTTTTTTGTCTTCTGTCAAAGATATTTGGAGCTTGGAAGCAAGTGAAGGAATAAAAGGGGCTTCACCTGTTTTCTGTGACTGTGTTTGGTTTGTATCCCACCCGGGGTCATCACAAAATACAACATTGGAAGATGTGGAAAGATTTGGCCCATATAATCATCAACAGGGGAAGGGGATGAGAGAGAGGGAGAGGGTGAGGTGAGGGAGGGGAAGGGGGGAGAGAGAAAGGAAAGAAAAAATATTAAGTATTGGATGTAACTGTCTATGGAGATAATTGCTAAGGTGCTTTTTCAAGAGGCAGCTGGACTTTCTTTGTTTTTCCTTGAAGGCGTTTCACTTCTCATCTAAGAAGCTTCTTCGATTCTGACTGAATGGTGAGGAATGGAAAGATTTTCAGTCATCTGGTCGTTGGCACTTTTTCTGAGGCTAATTGAAGGTTTATCTGGGCCCTCAGGGTCACCTGAATAGTGCAGATGGGTGTGGAACTGCTGAACTGCTACTGGGTGTGTAACGCTTAAGTCAGACTTTTGTTTTTCCATAGTGTTGGTGGAAGAAAGATTGGATTACACTCTAAGAAAACGACACTCTAAAACTATTTTGAAAGTTGTTGCCTCTCCTCCCAGAAAAACCTGGAAACTGGGTGTAGAAAGCTTAGGATGTTTCAAAGGCAACAATTCATTAAGCTACAGCTTCTAGTATCCTTTAAGGGGTGTGGGGGGGGGGAACTGTTCAATTAGGATCAAACATATAGTACAGAAACCAGTCAAAGCCAACGTACCTCATCACAAGCATCTGGGTCTCCTTTGTCTGCTAAATACTTTTCGATCACTGGCATTTTGTTCTCCAAGGCAGCTTTTAAAAACGTGGGAACATCCACAGGTCCTGTCTGATATAGACAAGAAAGAGCCCGTCATTATTGGGAGATGCCAGTAAATGCAGAACAGAAAGAAATTAAAATACTTTGTCGCTTGAACGTACTATAACTTCCTCCTTGGGTTCCTTCTCCACTGGAGCCTTGACCTTCTTCACTTTTTTCCTTTTCTTAAGAGTGATGATTTTTTCAAGGTCTTCCAAATTGTCAAGCTTGGTTCTTGCCTCTAGTTTCTTTTTCTTGAGCTGGACAAAAGGAATGAACAGGACAGTAAGATGGTTTGTATGTGACTGTCCCGAAATAAATATAGCAGAAGTGGGTATTCAGCAGGTTCTGACTAGTTCTGGAGAACCTGTAGTGGAAAGTTTGAGGCCTTCAGAGAACCGGCAAATACAACCTCTGACTGGTCCTGCCCCCATCTATTCTCTGCCTCCCGAGTCCCAGCTGATTGGCTGGGTCTTCTTTGGTTGCCCTGCACAGGAGAACGGAGCTGGAAAGCAGGTTAGTAGGGTGGGGAGGGAATGGGGATTTTGCAGTATCCTTCCCCTGCCACACCCACCAGCCACACCTATCAAGCCACCAAGCCACGGCCACAGAACGAGTAGTAAAATCTTTTGAATTCCACCATTGAAATATAGTATTAACATGTGATTCTCAAGGAATCTCAAGCATTACCAACCATGCTAAAAAGAGGAAAATCTTCATCCCCAGATCTGTAGCTTTTTACTGTCCCTATCTCTCCCACACCTCACCGATGCTTCAGGGCAGTGTGTATAGCAGTTGAGTCTCATAGTGTTCAATGAGCACATTTCTCTAAAGCAGAGGTCTCCAAACTTGGCAACTTTAAGACTTGTGGATTTCAACTCCCAGAATTCTCCAGCCAGCAATTTTGGAGACCCCCTTCTCTAAAGGAATCCCATGATTGCCTAAGTTTTAATAGTGTCTTGACAGGTGATGTTACTGAGTTTTTTATTTGTTTCTTAAGCTCAGTAGTCATGTGCTAAGCTGTCCTGCTGATGTGCAGGAGAACAGAAGCCTGGCACCCTGACAAATCAGCCATCAATAAACACACAGACATTAACAACATCTCTAGACTATGCAAAAGAGACAATCAACCATCCCAAAAAGAGAACCAAAAAAAAAAAAAGACTCCAGCATCTCTCCATCAGTAATCAGCATGGGATCAGCATAGATTAACTCCAAGGTTAACATCAGACCAACAATCAAGTAAACAATGTCCCAATCAAGAAACTGCCAAAGACTACTTCATAACATGGGGACTATTCTGTAAATGGTTAAATGACAGATATTGAGGTTAGAGGAGTGGAACTATGTGAAATATGGTTTATAAGAGAAAGAAAAATAGATGAGTGGATATTTCTGACAGTTATATAATGGAAGATAATATAGTTTATAATATGATTGATGTTATCATATTTGTTTATATATTACTGCATATTTGTTTATATATGATCATAATGAAGATGATGATGTTTGTATGTAAACATCTTGGGCATCTAGAGAGGACACTGCTCAACATAGAAAAGAAATGTATGATATTAAATAATAAAAAAATATTTCAACAAGAAACTGCCAAAGAGCCATCAGTAAACAGCCCAACCAAAGAATCTCTAAGACCGCCTCCACCCACATAGACAGGCAAGTTAACTGACAGCAAACAGCACTCCTTACTACCGGTAGCACTGATGATGTTACCTAGTTAGGGTAATGAAACATCTGCAAGAAAACAAGCAAGCTTAGAGAGCACCAAGGACCCCTCAGTGTAGATTTTCAAAGTTATCAGTGGGCGTGCAGAGAAAATAGCCTTGAGAAGTAGAAAACAGCTATGGGCATTGTTTCTGCAAGTCCCTTTCTTCCTGAGATCTCAGTAAAGAAAATGTTGGACAAGCGGTATTGTATAATAATTATATTTGTAATTTTGAATAGTGCCAACTGTCCGTACTGCTAATAATTGTATCACTAAATACATTAGGAGGTTTTGAATGCTTGATTGCAGGGGTAAACTCACTGTATAAAAGGTTGTGATAAGATTTGAGGGAATCTAAAAGGAGAGTGGAGAGTCAGTATGATTTATTGGTTAAAGATGTTAGGCTATAAGGCGAGAGAGACTGGTGTGGACTAATCCTGCTTTAGGCACAAAGCCAGCTGAGCAGTCCTTCTCTCTCAGAAGAAAGCAATTCTGAAAAGGCTGCTGAGAAAATTGCATGGACTTGTCCATGGACTTGTCCGTGTTGCCATGAAGAGAGAGAGAGAGAAGAGAGAAGAGAGGGAGAGGGAGAGGGAGAGGGAGAGGGAGGGAGAGAGAGAGAGAGAGAGAGAAAGATATATTCTGGTAAAGATGCATTTTGAAATTAGTTGATCAAGAATCACTTCCAAAAGACAAGATGCAAAGGGGTTATTGTGCAATAACTATTATACATTGTGGAATAGGTTGTCACTTGATGTCACACTCATTAACACCTTGTGAAAAGTCACTTGAGCTGCTACCTTGTAAGAAAGATGTGTCAGCTCGTATTTAAGGCAGAGGCAACATACTCCTAAATGGTTCTCAAGTAACTCATAAATGCATCATGTAACAGATTGTTGCCACTTACTCATCCGCAGATCTTACCTTTGAAGGACTAGCAGGAAAATTTCAGGAGCATGTTCTAGCAAATGTCTAGCTCATTTGGCTGAACCAATACATTTCTCAATTTGTTCTGCTGTCACTATTAATATGTAATGTGACACATAAAGTCCTTCATGGCACAAGGCCCGGTTACTTCAAGGATAACCTGTTTCTGAAAAAGTTTGCCTACTTGAGGAAATCTGCTCTGGGTCTTCTCATCTAAACAGTGTCATCTAACTAGAATGGAACAACTCACTGCAGCCAACTCATTGCGGCCAACTCATCACAGCCAACGCACCACAGCCATCTTGCAGCAGCCAATTCACCACACCACGGGATAACTCGCCATGGCCAACTCACAGCGGGACAACATGCCAGGGGACAATTTCACCATCCAACTTAATTATTTAAAATAAATAAACACTATTTTAACTTTTTCCATTCACATTTTGTTTTGCACCTTCTTTGGCATTCATTCTTTAATGATTCTATTCCACCATTTCTTTGATATTAGTGTAACTCTTGTCCAGCAGTGAGTTGGGCATGGCGAGATGTCTCATAACAAGTTGGCTGCAGCAAGTTGACCATGGTAAGGTTGGCCTGGTGAGTTGGTCACAGCGAATTGTCATAGATCCACATCTAGCAGCACCTAAAAGCCTACTTGATTGCCAAGCCTGCCCTAAGGAAGAGCATTCCCCCTGAGATTTACAGGGCTCCCACTCTTCCTGCCTTTTAGAAGGATCTGGAGATCTACTCCAGCACATTAGTCAGAAATGAGGTCAGAAGATGTTGTGTCCATTTAATTTGGTTCCAACTGTTCAGGGCTGTTTAAAATTACTGGACCTCTAACACAAAGAAGTTTTACTATCTTTTAATGTCCTTTTTGAGTTGCTATTTGTTGTTTTTGATTGTATGTGCCATCCTATGTTGCATGTTAATTGGGTGTCTATGTAAATTGATTTCATAAGATAAATAACTAAACACGAAAGCTGCATGTGTGATTCTTGCACATTCTCAGAGGGACAGTAGAATAATCTGTACAAAAATCCTGATCAGTTTTTCACTTCTAATGACGCTTTTGGATCTAACCAGGGGGGCATATCAGACCCTTTCCCATGGGTTCAAACATTATTGATTATGATTCCCATTATGGTCATTAATATTAAATCAACAGCAATATCAGTGGGATAGGTTTTTTTCCCCAACAAATTTTTCTGTTTAAGTTCTAGCGTGATGATCTGCTACTAAGAGCTCTAGGTTCTCTCTACCTCACCATCCTGCAGATGTGTGGGGACGTAGACTTCTTGAGCTCCATTCTCTTGAGACTTCTGGAATCTTTTGACCCAACATGTCTAGAAGAAGCCAGTTTGAGGAAGATTGCCCTACTGTGACTTGGTTTGTTTGTTTGTTTTGTCTAAAGATAACCGGACAGTCATTTGCTGTATGCCAAGAGCAGAACTACAAGCATTTGAGTTTTCTAATCTGATATTCCTTTTTAAAGGTAAGTAGATGAGAAAACAGATGACATCTATATCATCTGAGAAATGTGTTTGAATGATACTCATATGAACCAGTATCGTGTAGATTCTATGGCCAGTCTTGTCTAATGCTCCATGAGTATCAAACATTGTCCAGATTTTCAAAATAAAATTTCCTCACCTTTGTCCACCAGCTAGAATTTCCTTGAAAGAGAAATTATGTTACATCATGGGTGCAAAGATTAGGCACTCCCCAGATTCTTAATATCTCATCCTTTTAATTTCTTTCAAGTCTCAACTTCCTGCTTTTCTCATTATAATTAGGCTTGACTGAACAGTTTTTTCCTGATCCTCAGCCTTGTAGTCCTACCAGACTATGCAGGCTTGTTCAAATACAACCATAGTAGAGAACAACAGTAAATCAAAACATTGGTGACATATTCCCAGAAGATACATTAAAAACTCCTTATTTTACCTCAGCTTGCAGCTCCTTCTCTTCTTGGTAAGTCAGAGTGCGCTGTGTTACTGAGGGATCAATGACCGTCTTCAGGTCTTCTTGTTTCTCTAATCTTACTGTAGCTTCATATTCTCCATCTTTGAAGTCCTCCGGAAGGAAATCCCCTGTTTCTCTACCTTCTGTCTTTTTGCCTGTCATCTATCAAAGAAAACATGTGCCTTAAGATTAGAGTTCCAAAAGGTTGTCCCTGACAAACCAAGACCAAAAAACAAACCAGATTGTCGCAGAAAGAACTTGTTGATGACAACAAAAATAAAAAATCAATGTCCCAAGGTCATCATGACAGACAGAGACTTGAGGAAAATGGTAAGTGAACTGATAAGAAACCATGAGCTGTACAGTATTGCAGAGAGCAACAGTATGTTTGCAATTAAGCCATTGTGGTTTTTCTTTGAAGGAGTTTCACTTCTGATCCAAGAAGCTTCTTCATGCCACAGTTGTTAAGTGAATTACTGCAGGGGCTAAGTACCCTGACTGGATGGTGGGAACCTGAAGAAGCTTCTTGGATGAGAAGCGAAATGCCTTCAAAGAAAAACCGAAAGTCCACTTGCCTCTTGAAAAAAGCACCTTTCAGACAACCATGACCTGGATGACTGAAAATCCCAAAAGAAAAACCTGAAGGAAAAGTAGGTGATATTGAGGCTTGGAAAGAGCCAGAGTGAAAAGAAGAAAAGAAAGCAAGGGGACTATCATTATTCCTTAAGAAGAGCGAGCTCAGTTCTGTTGAGAGGTAGGACAAAATAGTTATCAAGAGGCTAAGTGGTTTGACAAAAACTGTTAAGTTTTGCAGCAATCTGAGAGACAAAGTCAATGGATATAGTGAAATAGAGAAGACCCGAAGAAATCCACCCTGTAGTTCTCCCTCACCCACAAAGGAAAGGGCTGGAGAAAGGACACTAGACTGACTAAGGAAACCGTAGACTGATTGCTACTGTGGACCGTGCATGTATTGAGTTGCAACATCTGACACTCACATTAGGACTTTTGCCATCAGAGCAGCCGTGTGACCTGAGACAACAAAAGCCCAGAAGCACTGAAGGATGTCAGGGAAGAGTTTTATATATGAATATGAATTAGCCATACAATTGCTTAGCTGTGAGCAGCTGGTCATCAACCAATACCAGGAATACTACAGGTTGTCCTTGTCTTATGAACAGAGTTGAGCCCAACGTTTCTGTTGCCAAGTGAGATGTTTGTTGAGTTTTGCCCCATTTTACAACCTTTCATGCCACAGTTGTTAAGTAAATCACTGCAGGGGCTAAGTAAGTGAATCCGGCCTCCCCATGGACTTTGCTTGAAAGAAAGCTGCAAAAGGAGATCACGTGATTCCAGGACACTGCGGCTGTCATAAATATGAGCCAGCTGGCAAGTGTCTGAATTTTGATCACGTGACATGGGGAATACTGCAATGGTCATAAATGTGAAAAACTGTGATAAGTCCCTTTTTTCAGTGCCATTGTAACTTCAGATGGTCACTAGATGAACTGTTGTAAGTCAGGAAGTACCTGTATTGTAAGATGAATTTTTACTAATCTTTACCAATATTGACAAATGTATAATATAAAGAAGGAATGATGAGTATTTCCCTTATTTGTTCCCCGTGTCACCTCCAGCAACTGTAATTACTAGAGGAAAAAAACAGTTGAATAAGTGTGTGTGAATAAGATCATAAGTCACTTTTTTTCAGCCCTGTTGTAACTTCAAACAAGTCACTGAACAAAGTGTTGTAAGTTGAGGACTACCTGTAGTTGCCTGCAACCAAGCAATTGTTGCCCCAATGATCTGATTACTAGCCACTTCTAACTAAGCACTGGCCTCAGAACGAACAGTCAGAAAAGGGAATGAGCTTGAATTAGATTGAACATGTAGAGGGATGGCAATACGTTGAAAGATTTGGATGCTAGTGAGCTCAGATACAGAATCTCTTACACTGAAGGATGCGTGCCCCTAATACATTCAATTAAATTTAAAATCAAGTCTTCAACAGTTCATAGTATGGAGCAGCTGAAGTTAGAGGTTGCCACAGATCACTGAATCACTGAAACAACTCAGTGTGACTTTTATAAATTCCAATGCTTCCAGTGGGTTTTAGTCACAACTATGTTTAGCTGGATGAAGAGAAATGGTGGACAATCCATCCAAGAATGCAATAGGGCATTAAAAAAAAAAAACCCTACTCCCTTGTTCCTCCCTATAGACTGACAGACTCCTATGCCATCTGCTTTTTGAAATCCTTTCTGGCTTAGAAAAAGCTTAAAGAGACTTGGTACTGCTATTGAGAAATAGAAAAATATCCTGGGTTACACAAAATTTGCCGTGTTGACCTTAAGTTCGTTCACACCAGCTTTATTTGCGAGTTGCTAACAAACTATATATGCATTGAAATCCATATTTTATGAAAGAAATTTCATAAAATCTCTTTCTGATCAAACCATGGTAGTCCATGAAAAAGACCCACTACGGTCCATCCAATTAAATTCAATAAGAATACATTCAGGAAATTACACAAGGCTTACCCATGTACTTTCACTTTTTATTTTCTAGACCGAATAAACAACAATCCAGATTGTCATTCCCATATTTGATGACAAATTAAGCTCAGAGTGGTAGAAGCTGAAGGGTTTGCTTATTTGCCAGTATAAAAATGTTGTGCTATAATTACAGCTAAAGTGTTTGAGATAAGCAACTATTTTAGAAACACTTCTATTTTCTTTCCATTCCTTCACTGTCATTTTGCTGCCATTAATAACACTGTCATAAACAGCAGAGGTGACTAGAGGCCTATTAAAGCTAGGTCATTTAAGTCCTGTTTTAATTCTTTATTATGTTGTCTGGAATGGGAGTTGGAGCCAGGCTTGTGTGCCTGGCATAGTATAAGCGTAGCTGAGAATACTTTGAATCACAAGGGATGTTCTAATAACTGTGAACCCATCACACTCCTACTGACTTTGTTGTATTTTCTTGTGAACTATCTTGAAAGTCTCAACATGGCAAAAGATGGCATACAATAAATTTTGTTGACACTTAAATGAGACCAAGCTTTAAAAAAAAGTAGTTTGCAAGCTAAACTACAGTACAGTATATTGCTACATAAACGACTATTATTAAATATATAACATGTACTTATATGAAAGATAGATCATTTTTTCAGAAACAATTTCAGCAATCAATAACCCTTTCTCTATTGGCTTTCAGAATTTTACACACATCATCATTTCATTCATCATCATCATCATCATCTTTAAACATAGGAGAATGTCATTATTGTCACAAAAGTTGCTAGCGATAAAAACGATGGGACATCAGCTCAGCTAAAGCCATATTCATCTGTGAAACAAAATTCAAAATTCAAATTTTCTCTCTTTGTTCTGTTTGCTTAAAAGGACCACACCCATTCCCCAAGGACATTTTCATTCCCTTAGGTACCACTTTCAATCAAAAGAAGCAATTTGGTCTTAGAGATAACTATTCCTTTGTCATGATGTTCACCCCACATGCTATTGAATTGGAAGTGATGTCCACCTTTAACAAAAATTATCACCCAAGGTAGTTTGATACTTACCAGATCTTCTACCAGTAGCATCATCATCATGGCTGTTGGTTGATCAAAAGCAGATGGTACAGTGGAGTATTCCTCTCAAGAAAGATGCCTTTACCCTCCAAGGCAACTTGACTGAGACACGCCAAGCTCTGTTAGTTTATATATCTTTGCAAAAACTTCTTCTGCGTGAGATAATCTTCCAACCTGGGAATCCAAACAGTTCAGCAATAGGTGTTTTCACATTCCAGGCATATTAACTAGACAGATCTAGTGTCGAGGATAGGAATTGGAAGGGGGGGTGTGGGTTGAGGGAGGGTGAGGGGAAGAGGAAAAGTCCTGCAGTGTAACGGCCCCAAATATCTGAATCAGTATGAAATACAAGAGCTTCATTCCATTGGCAGTGACTACATAGCTCAGCAATGCTATCCATGCTGGCTGTCCGGTGTCCATTAAGGCAGCTGTCTGCAGATACCTCCCTTATCATAATTGGCTCCCACATGAGCAACAGACACCAGGAGGAGAAAAAAAGAAAGACAAGGCAGCCCTCGTTTTGTGGATAAACAAAGAAGTAGGTCAACTGATGGAAAAATAATTATTTTGGTGATAGTATGTCCTACTAAGGTTTATAAATAGTTCTTTAGGGAAATATATTCTTTCCCTTGCCCCCATCCCCCCCCCAGTCTCTCTCTCTCTCTCTCTCTCTCTCTCACACACACACACACACACACACACACACACACTTATCATGATGTCACTTGTCTATATTTGTCAAGAAGAATTTTCTGAGGGGATTATGAAGCCAGAGTGATGTCTCTGGTGCTAAAAGGACTGGGTGACATGTTAAGTTACCATCAAGATAAGAATGCAAAACTCTCGCCTGCTTTTCATTTTCTCTGGAATCTGTCACTGCTTATAAACAGGGATTAAGAGTTCTGATTTTAAGGGGCAGGAAGGTGAAACTGCAATTTAGTGGAGGTAAAGACTTCCAACGAAATTGGAAAAGACAGTAATTTTTTTAAAAACAAAAAGCTAGCGCTTGTCCAAGGTATTGTGCCTTTTAATGAGGAATTTATGGTGGACGTTGGAATTTTGGCCCTAAGAAAATATAAAAGATGCAGCAAATTGATAATATCCTGATCTGATTAATTAGTCCTTACTAAAAGCCATTTCAAAGGTTCGTGTACTGGATTCTGAAACCATATTCCATCTCCAAGTGCCCTAGGCAATGTGTAGCTTAAAAAAAAACTCCTACCCTTAAAAAAAATCAAAGTATAAAATATAGATCAAATAAGTTACAGTAAAGAGAAAGAAATCTCCTATCAAAATCAATAGTTGTATTAGCAGTAGTAATTTCAAGTGAGTATCATCTGTATTTAGGTCCAGCTTTGCTCCACTACTATGTAACATTGCTATATAAAATATTCTACTGATGGCCATTTCCTTGTCAGACGTATTCTCAGGAGGAAATAAATTGAAATAGGGAGGGAGTCGGAAGATATGTTTGAAGGAGGAGCAGAGTCAAGGGCAAAAGGAGGAAATGGCATTTTATCCTTCAGAAAAATACTGGAGGACATTCTGTGGCAGAGAAACAGATGCTGGGCTAATATTACACAGGGTTAGTTAGAACATGGACATGGGCATGGCCTTAACAGAACTCACCAGCAGGGGTGAAGCCTTTTTATGGAATTACTGATTTGCAACAGAGACACAATATCAAGAAGTAATGTTGATAAGTGAATAAAGGGAATTACTGAAGCTTTACAATTAGTCCTCAATATAACATTAAGAAAAGATTAATTAAACATTAACAAGGTGCAGTGCATTGAGTTAGTTTATCGTATAAGAAAGAATATAAAACTTTGAGCTTATGCCAAAATCTCTAATCTTTACTGTATTGTTAGAGGAGGAGGAGGAGGAGGAGGAAGAAGAAGAAGAAGAAGAAGAAGAAGAAGAAGAAGAAGAAGAAGAAGAAGAAGAAGAAGAAGAAGAAGAAGAAGAAGAAGAAGAAGAAGAAGAAGAAGAAATATAGAATGTTCAAGTAGTTTGTGCACACATCTTCCATTTCTCTGTGTGAAGTTGAATAATATTTCTTGAATAATAATCTTTTTTTTCTTAGATGTGACAACTGCATATCATTTGTCATAAAAAAGCAGGAAGTATGAAAAGCTCCTTAGCCTGGCCTTTCCGGTATTGCATTGCCTGCACTGATTGATAGTTGTTCTCAGATTTTCAGACCAAGGGATGAAATCTGCAATGGAATGTTTGTCAACTGTGTAGACGACATAAGCTAGTTGAGACTGTTAATGCTTTAGAAAGTAGAAACAAAATTCAAGAATATTTGATAAGTTAAGGAAATGAGCTGAATGTTCCTTGATTTAAAGACATGCAAACAAATGCAGAGATATAGGTTAGTAATAATACTTCTGAAATCAATTTTAAATTGTAATTGATTGAAAAATCAATACATGATCAATCATTCTTTTCGGTTCAACCAATAGAAATAGTAACACTGGTTTCCAAATCAAATAAATAACTGTATAGTACACTGGTTAAACCCCACTTCAAATATAGTGACCTGCCCTAAACATCAGATTTAAGGGCCAGGGAAAGTAAATATGGCCCATTAAAGGCATTGAGGATGGCTAGGGACTGGAAACTGAAGTCCTTTGAAGTCAAAACGAAGAGGTTCAATATGTTTTGCCTTGAGAAAAGATGGCTGGGGTCAGGGAAAGAGTATTTACTTGCTTATTTGACTCATATGTCTGCCTAGCTTATGAAAGCATGGGTTAATAGAGTGTTACATGGAAGAAGACCATAATTTGTTTCAGAGGACAAGATATGGAATAACATATTTTGAAAGTTTGGTAATAATATGAGCAATTTGATAAGAGAACCAATTTCCCAGGAAGGATGGCAGGTTTCCTCCTGGAAATGTTTAAGTAGAAGGTGGATGATCATTTTTGGAAGATACTTTAATTTGGATTCCTGCAATGGTCAGAAGGCTGGCCAAAATGGCTTCTTTTTGATACTAGGATTCTTATCTTACTTCAGTTATTTGTGAGATAGAAATTTTAAAAAGCAATCAATATAATCCACTTTCATGTGTTATACCTTCTAGCTCAGGGGTGTCAAACTCAAGGCTCGTGGGCCAGACCCAGTGCTTAAAACTGGCCTGTGGGGCAGGCCTGGAAATAGCAAAGGACTAGCCTGCGGTGCCTCTGGCAGCCAAAACAGGGCTTGGAGGGCACGCATACCCCCCCATCCCATTTTTGGTCTGGATGGCCTCCTGCAGCACTCTGCCAGCCAAAATGGGGCGTGGGGGCTGTATGAGTCCCCGCACCCCATTTTGGCCAGGAAAGTGCTGCTGGAGGCCGTCCAGGTAAAAAATGGGGCACGGGGGCATGTGTGGCTCCCTCCTGCCCCATTTTGGCTGGCAGAGTACTATAAGAGGCCTTCCAGGCTGAAAACAGGGTGCGGGGGGCACACACGACCCCTCCCTGCCCCATTTCGGCTGGCTGGAGGCATCCATCCCATCTCCCCACCCTGGCTGGCCCGCAGAGAAGTACAATGCTTATCCGGCCAGTGGTGGGATCCTTTTTTTTTTTTTACTACCGGTTCTGTGGGTGTGGCTTGCTGTGAGTGGCAGGGGAAGGATACTGCAAAATCTCAATTCCCTTCCTACCCCACTAACCTGCTTTTCAGCTCCGTTCTCTTGTGCAGGGCAACAAAAGAAGTCCCAGCTGATCAGCTGGGACTTGGAAGGCAGAGATTAGATGGGGACAGGACCAGTCAGAGGTGGCATTTGCCGGTTCTCCGAGCTACTCAAAATTTCCGCTACTGGTTTTCCAGAACTGGTCAGAACCTGCTTAATACCACCTCTGGATCCATCCCTTGAAGAAATCCAGTTTGATACCACAGGTGGTATTCAGCAGGTTCTGACTAGTTCTGGAGAACTGGTAGTGGAAATTTTGAGTAATTCGGAGAACCAGCAAATACCACCTCTGACTGGCCCTGCCCCCATCTATTCTCTGCCTTCCGAGTCCCAGCTAATCAGCTAGGTCTTCTTTTGTTGCCCTGCACAAGAGAACGGAACTGAAAAGCAGGTTAGTGGGGTGGGGAGGGAATGGGATTTTGCAGTATTCTTTCCTTGCCACACCACACCAAGCCATGCCATGTCCACCAAGCTACACCCACAGAACCGGTAGTAAAAAAAATGAATCCCACCACTGTTCTAGCCAAATGTTGAACGATGTCCAAGGGATAACTAAAATTCATTGAATGACAATGACAGTATTTATTCAAGAAAAACTTTGGCCTGCTCAAAAGTGGCCTTCAAACATAGCCATCTCCTACTGAAATCAGTCCCCTGATCAGTCATTCCAGGATGCCTTCCTTTCCTTACAACGTAACTGTCCTCACTCCCACCAACATATATGTAGATTTGTGTGCATGTGCAAGTGTGTATTCATATCCTACTAATATGTTGGAGGCAGTGCAGAATGACCCTTGGAATTCCATTAAAATTTCATAGACTCATAATAGTTTAAGTGTTCTCCATTGATTGTATCGATTACTCTATTAAGTAAACTTCCTGCCAATCCTTTTCAGAAATCTTTGTCGACTTGCAGTTCTCAAGACATTTTCCAAAGGCTGATTAGTAAGTTCTTTGGCCTTCTGAATCAACAGCAACTGTTTGCTGATCCTCAAAACATTCAGACAACCACATTTCCCTTAAGTTCACAGAATCCAGAAATACTAATCTATTATATGTTCAATCATCAGAATGAATATATTGCTGGATTTGTTTTTATAGACATTCAGCTAGGAAGGAAGATTATGGGAGTATTTGTTTTGTTTCTGTCTCTTTCTCTTCATAATTATTTTGTTGTGGTTAATTTGGAAATCCACTATGTTTACTATATCACATTGGCTTTGATTCAAGACAACTTAATATGTATAACTTCAGAATTAAAAAAAATAAGAGGCAAAAATGTATGTTTGTAAAGTATTTTTATGTTTCCCGTATGAAAAACCCTTTACCAAAGTACCTTTCATATACCAAAAGACTAAAACATTTACATAACCAACATACTACAAATGTTGAAACAATTCCAAATTTTTGTAATCACTCAGAGTCCTAACAAAAAAACTGTAATGTAGATTAGAACAGTAAAACTATACCAGAAAAGGTTTCGGGAAAGTTTGTTTAACTGTAG